CTGGTACCAAAAAAAAAAAAAAAAAGAAGAAGAAAATAAAGAAAGTCTTCTGTTCTCATTATTTATTATTTTTTAATATTTATTTTTTTAGTTGTAGTTGGGCGCAATACCTTTATTTTATTTACTTATTTTTATGTGGTGCTGAGGATCGAACCCAGGGCCTTACATGTGCTAAGCAAGTGCTCTACTGCTGAGCCCCAACCCCAGCCCTGTTTATTATTTTTACTGCTACTTATTTTTTTTGGCTTATGGAACAAAGATTTATTGAATGTGCAGAAAGTGCTGGGGATACAACGAGAACAAAACTGGCCTGACCCCTGTTCTCATAAAGCTTTAAAGAATGAAGAAAGCCAGTCAATCAGCAAGTGATTACAACAGGGAGAGATGCTTGAAGAAATGGTTTTAAAAATGGAAAAAGCATGAGGCGCAAAGACAATCATTACAGCATTATGTATACCAGCAAAAAATTGGTCACAATCTATGTCTAACAGTAAAGAGAGATACATATTCCATGGGCTATCATGCTGCCATTAAAATGATCTCAGAGAGCATCCATGATAATGATATGAGACTTATTTTTTTTTTTATTTTTTAGTTGTAGTTGGACACAATGCCTTTATTTTATTTATCTTTATGTGGTGCTGAGGATCAAACCCAGGGCCTCACACATGTGAGACAAGAGCTGTACAGCTGAGCCCCAGCCCCAGCCCCTGATATGACACTTATTATGTAAAAAAGTAAAAAAAAACTAGCAGTGGTGGCACACGCCTGTAATCCCAGCAATTCAGGAGAAGCAAGGAGGAAGGAGGATTTCAAGTTCAAGGCTAGCTGTGGCTACTTAGCAAGACCCTATCTCAAAAAAATTAAAAAGGGCTGGGGATGTCTCTTTAGTGGTAGAGTGCCTCCCCCACCCCAAAAAGTAGAAAAAGGATATAAGGGATATAAAAGAATATGAAGTTATATGAAAACATATTCAATCATATTAAAATATACATAAAGCCCAGAAAGAAACTCACAAAAAAAAAATGCTAATGATGGTTGAGAGCAGAACTATTCAAGGCACAGAATCAGGCTGAACTGCCGCTTTTGTAAATCATGTTCTTCTGGCTCAACCTGAGTTGCTGGTGAAAAGGGCCCAAGGCACACTTGGATTCAAATCTAGCTCCAGTACCTTGCATCATCCAGTGTGCATCACCTCACTTGTGTAACCTTAGACAAAATTTTTTTTTTTTTGGTTCCACGGATTGAACCCAGAAGCGCTTAACCACTGAGCCACATTCCAAGCCACCCCCACCCATTTTTTGTTTGTTTGTTTTAAGATAGGGTGAGATAGGGTCTCACTAAGTTGCTTAGGGCCTCACTAAATTGCTGAGGCTGACTTTGAACTTGTGACCCTCCTGCCTCAGCCTCCTGAGCTGCCAAGATTCCAGGAGTGCGCCACCACACCCAGCTTGGACAAATTTACTTAACCTTTCTAGGCCACCTAGTGTACCTCTCGGGATGGTGGCCAAGATGAAATGGAACAAGGAACGTAAGCATCCTGGAACACTCTAGTCCCCGGGCAGTGGTCATGATAGTAAGTAGCATTTCCTTTCTTCTTTGGTTTTCAAACTTCCTATAATTATAATTTTCTTTAAAATTCTAAAGCTAATAAACACAATTATTTGCATTTACAAAAGGTCATGCTCTGTTCCCTGGGGATCTTGAGCCTGTTCCTGGGAATGCAGCTGAAGGCTTTCTTCCAGCCCTGTTATGACCCACTCAGCCAGAGCAAGACAGTGATCTGAGAACAGGGCTGCATATTTGTGCTCTGAAGGACCCTGGGAGCATTATTTAGAGAGGACATTCTGTCCCAGGCCTAAGCTGCTCTTTCACCCAGCAGCTGCAGACTGGACTAAGCACTCCAGAAAGACGGTCTTAACCCACCCTGGCCCTGAAACCTCGCCTGAGTCCTGACAGCCTGTGGCACAATCCTCTTTCCTCAGGAGCAGCTTTTGGTTTCTGAACACAGAAGCTGAGCTCAACTTTATCACGTCCAGTACCCAGAAATGGGCTATAGCATTTCTGTTTGGGATGAAAAAAATGTTTTGGAAATAAATGATAGTAAAAAAGTATACAGAGGCTGGAGTTGTAGTTCAGCGGTAGATCRCTTGCCTAGCATGTGTGAGGCACYGAGTTTGATCCTCAGCACCTCTGGACTTATTTTTATAAAAATAAATAAATAAAATAAAGATGTTGTGTCTTTCTACAACTAAAAATTTATATATATATTTTAAAAAAGGGTACACATATTAGGGTAGGGAGGGGGAGCATGGGAGGAATAGACGAACTCTAGATATGACAAAGGGGTGGAAGGGGAAGGGAGGGGGCAGGGGGTTAGAAATGATGGTGGAATGTGATGAACATTATTATCCAAAGTACATGTATGAAGACACAATTTGGTGTGAATGTACTTTATATACAACCAAAGATATAAAAAAATGTGCTCTATATGTGTAATATGAATTGTAATACATTCCGCTGTCATATATAAAAGAATCAATAAAAAAGGGGGTACAAACTTTCAGTTATAAGATGAGCAATTTCTGGAGCTGGGACTGTGGCTCAGTAGTAGAGCGCTCGCCTCACACGTGTGAGACCCTGGGTTCGATCCTCAGCACCACATAAAAATAAATTAAAAAAAAAAAGGTATTGTGTCCAACTACAACTAAAACAAATAATATAAAAAAAGATGAGCAATTTCTGGGGATGAATGTACAACCTTGGTGGTGATGGGTATGTTCTTTGTGATAATCATTACACAGTGTATATGTATATTGAATACATAAACATATTGCGTACATTAAATACATACAAAAGTAAACCAAAAAAATCCATAATGAGAAGACTAAAAGAGAGGTTTCATGAAATAACCTGGACTAAACAACACCATGCTAGGAGACCTGGATTTAGGTTTCTGTTCTGCTTCTTATTTGACTTCAGGACCTTGAATAACTTAACTCCTGTAAGCCTCAGCTTTTTCTTCTGCAAAATGGCATAAATCCATGCTGCCCTTGGTGGGTGATCGGGGAGCACTAATAAATCAGATGCTGTCGAACTCTTCTGCAAAACACCCAAGAAGTATCAATTAGGGTTATCTCCCACAGGCCCCAAACAAAAAGGAAGAAGGAAGGAAAGAAACCTATCACAAATACAATACCAGAGTACTCTTTTTTTTTTTCTTTTCCTCTATGGATGACTGAAATTCCGCCTTGAGGCTTTTATTTGTGTTACATGGAAACATCCAAAAATAAGGAAAGRAAGATGGGAAAGGAAGGAGACCTCTCAATCTCTGGCTCCTTACTGGGAATGAGATGCCATATTTTCTTTGGGTTGGTTCTGGGGGGCTTCCAGGGAGGAGTCAGTGAGAGTCAAGGTGCCAGAGGAGAACATCTCAGCATCATAATTTTGCTCTGGCATTGGACAGAGCACAAATGTCCTTGGCTTGAGCCYTTTTTCTTTCCTGTTCCCCCTCCCTCTGCCTTCCTACCATACGTTGCCTTTCCCATCCTTCTCTTGGGAGATGTATTTCTGTCTTTTTTTTCATCTAAAGCAGAGGAAATGAATCATCTCTCGGCTTGTTTAGTAAACAGCCTCTTACTCCTGACCCCAGCTGGCTCTCCCAGCACCCTGTGGCTGCTCCAGTCAATATCCTCATGGCTGGTTGTTCTTCAGAATGTTTGTCCTCTGGGCCTGGTGGCTTGACCTCCTCTGAGCTGGGGATGATGGGAAATGACACATAGCATTCCAGATGACAGTTCCACAAGCTCGCCAGGAGGGCAAGGGAAGCAAGGGAACCACTGTGTTTTGAGAACACTGTGTGTCATCTCAAAGACCCGAATAGGCAGGCAGACCTCAAAATTCTCCTTTTACCAGGTCAGCTACAATATCAGCTTCAGTCCATTCATCAGGATGGAAATTGAGCATCATGTGCATTAAGCCATATGCATGCCATAGATGGATGTTACCAAGGAGATGTCAAGTACACACAGTATGTATTTTACCAGGAGGCAGATGAGTGTCTGAGGATGGTATCAAGAAGAGAAGGCCAAGCTCCGTGGCCTGTAATCCAGCGGCACAGGAGGCTGAGGCAGGAGGATTGCAAGTTCAAAGCCAACCTCAGCAATTTAGTGAGGCCCTAAGCAACTTATTGAGACCCTATCTCTAAATAAAATATAAAAAGGGGCTGGGGATATGGCTCAGTGGTTGAATATCCCTGGGTTAAAAAAAAAAAAAGGCAGGGGGGGGGTAATGAAATGTTCATGTTCAAGACCATAAGCCCTGCCCACACCTTATGGTGATGGAACTTGACAGGACCCTGCTATGTCCAGGTTGGTTCACTTCCTGGTGAACACAGTCATGCAATTATTTTTGAATTTCCAAAAAACGTGCGGGTGCCATTTCTAGGAGATAAAAGAGATTCAGGAATAACACTGCTGATATCCAGCTCACTAGTGAAGACCCAAGTACGTATCACTATGGTGCAAGGTGGACAGAAAGTGCCCAGGGCCAAAGGGGATGAACAAATCCTATCATAGAGTTCTAGAAGGACCAGAAGCTGGAGAGACTGCTTGATACTGGGCAGTAAGAAGGGTTTCCCTGAGAAGGTGATGTTTGCAATATACCTATGTCCCGAAATAGATGTAAGATCCTAACAAAAGTTAGGTTCTGTTTAAGTTTTCCAAGGAGCGCCGAGATGTGGACATATGCCCTTATTCCTCCACTATAGCGGTGGAACCAGAGGCCCAAAGAGGCTGAACATTATTGTCCACAGTCTTGCAGCTAGGAAGTGGCGGGCCAGAAGTTGATCTTGCTCCAGGGCAACCACTCAAAGTCTGGTGTTCCTGCCCCTCCCCACCTGTGGAGGGGAGGGGCGGGACTGGCCCGGCCGAGGGCGGGACAGAGGCCCTGGAGGGGCGGAGCTGGAGAGACGGCGGGCTGGGTCCTTTTCGACGGCGGGGACTAGTGCACTGGTCATGGGCTGCCGCGGGCCGGGAGGCGGCCGGGCTGAGCCCTGCTGAGCCCGCCCCGCCCGCCATGGGCGACCGSGAGCGCAACAAGAAGCGGCTGCTGGAGCTGCTGCAGGCTGCGGGCACCGGCAACGCGCACTGCGCCGACTGCGGGGCGGCGGGTAAGGGCGCAGCGGCGCKGGGCGCGCGGGGCAAGTGCAGCTCGGGACTTGGCCAGCCAGACTCTCCCCTACGAGCACACCGGGTCCGGTCCTATCTTCGTAGGATCCAGAAGTGTCCCCTATTGAGCTCTGGGACCCGGACTCCCGTCCATCCAGACGGTGAGCCTCYCACCCGGACGCAGGATCCTGACTCCCGACTCCAGACCAGACGCGGATCTTTCCACGTCCTGGGACCCTCCCGATATTAGATCCCGGAGCTGGGCACCCTGACCTTCCTGTCCACCGCCCCCACCACAGACACCCTACGGCTCAGGACCCAGCTCCCTGTGCCATCCCTCAAGACCTAGGCACTTCCCGCGCCCTGGACACAAACATCTCACTCACCGAGGAGCCCTAGACCTCAGCCCCAGGCCTCCTGATGGTCATGTGTCCCCTGTCCCTCCTCTGGACGCCTTTCCCTTTCCCTCTCCACCGCGATCAGACCTGAGGAGCCGTGATTCACCTGCCCACTTGCAGYTCCCAGCCCATCGCTTGGCTGCTGGTCCTTCCCCGGTGCTCCTCTCAGTTCCCCCTCAGTTCTGTCACTTCCACGTCGCGCCCGCCTCAGCCTCGCCCCCATCCCTTGGAATCTCTCCAAGATCGTCACCCTGGTGGCCGCCGCGGTGGCGGGTGGGCCGACCAGATTTCATGCTAGTAACTTAGCTGTTCCAAGGTGGGGAGCCCCGCACAGGCAGAGCTGGCCACAGCCTCCGGAATCCTATCAGGTCCTATCTGTCCCAGAGCCTCAGTCCAGCTTTGATTTCCTCGCTCAACTCTGCTCAGCTACCCTCCTGCCCCGCAGATCCCGACTGGGCCTCTTACAAGCTGGGAGTCTTCATCTGTCTCCACTGCTCTGGCGTCCACCGCAACTTCCCGGACATCAGCAAAGTTAAATCCGTGAGACTCGACTTCTGGGACGACAGTATTGTGGAGGTAGAAGGGTGTGCAGGTGGAGAGTTTCGGAATTGCAAAGTTGGGGTGGAGACAGGGAGTGGGTGTTCCCAGTCCAGRGAAGAAGAAACTGAAGCCCAGCGAGTGTCAGCGAGTAACAGAGGAAACACAGTAGACTGGCATTTTAGACAGAGGCCCTAAGGACATATTCTGACTCATCACTTGCTCACTTAGAAGCCCTGAGGCCCTGAGCTACTTACTTAATCCTAGCTATGAACTCTTAGTTTCCACATCTGTATTATAGGCATACCTACCTTCTCATAGGGATGCTAGAAGCATTAAATGCAGGCTCATTTGAGGAATAAAGTAGGCAGTCAATTAACAGTTGCGTTTATCATCAATGGAAGTCCTAGACTGGGAGAAGAGAAGCATGCTATGGTCCTCCTGCCCTCCCGGAGCTGGGAAGAGGACCACTTTGCTTTACTGCCCTGTGGGCACTGAGGACTCCCTTAACCTGGAGGGGTAGTAACATTTTGGCCAGATAAATCTTCSGAGAGCAGGCAGTTTTATACTGTACTTGTTGGCTGAGGAGTTCAAGAACAATTGGGGAAGCAGATCAAATGACTTAGCACCCACTCTGTGCCAGGAACTGTCCCAGAAAACCACTGGGATGGATGTTTTACTTATTCAGCTAAAACATAGTTACTCTACGCCTACTATGTGTTAGGTGCTGGGAGAGAACAGTGGACAAGACAAGGTCCTTGCTTACCTGGGACTTAGATTCTAGTTCAGAAGTCAATCTGCACATAAACCTGAAGCGTTTTATTTGTGCCTTTTCTTCATTTTTATATATGAGATCTCAGGGTCAGTCCTGGAATAAATGGCAGAATCTCAACCCTGTTGGGATCCAAACCTGGTACATATCCTGTGACGTAGCCCAACAGCTCCCGGGAAGGCGAAGAGTACTGATCACTCTAACCAAGGGTGTCCCTTCAACACCTGGAGTTTCTTCCCACTGCTGCTCTCACCTAGATATGCTACCTCCACCATCCACTCTGGTCCACTGATCACCCTGACATATGTATTTTATGGGGCCAGCACCCACTTCCATCCTCCAGCTGCCTCTGTCTTTTGAAGACATTTAGAGCTGCTGGGGGTCCTGCCATCTGCGGAAGGAGTAGGTGAAAGAATGTGAGCTTTGGAGTCAGRCAGGTCTAGGTTCAAATTCCAGTTTTCCACTTTTCTAGCTATGTTGCCGAGGACAGATCATTAAGCCTCTCTGAGCCCAAGTTGCCTCATCTCTAAAATGAAGATGGCCATATTAAAATGGCTAAGGGTATCCAATGAGCCTCTGTGTAAGAATTGTGAAGTGTTGTTTCCGTTTGAGGCATGGATATTATTGCCCCTCATTGGTCAGCCTGGGACTTCCTGGCAGCGCAATTAGCAGGCCTGGTGGGACATGTCCTTCTTGGAGGCAGTTCCTTCTGACCCAGCCTAGAAGCCAGAGAGACCTATAGCCTTCTGGGTAGACCAGGGTTTCATTTCACATTTTTCCAAGTTCTAAGATTATCTTAAATTGCTGTTGTTTTGCAGTTTATGACTCACAATGGGAACCTCCGTGTGAAGGCCAAGTTCGAAGCCAGAGTCCCAGCTTTCTACTATGTCCCCCAAGCCAATGACTGCCTGTAAGTGGGCAATTCTTTAGGGGCTGGCTGAGAGGTTTTCCTGGTCCCATCCCCCAAACCTCTACCCCATCTCGGATGCCTTTGTCTGTGGCAATCTCTCCTGTGGACCAGGTCAGCAGGTAGATCCAGGAGTGCATCTGATACCATCACAAATGAATCCTGATTTAAACTGGGCATGATGGCACCTGCCTATACCTCAGCTACTCAGGAGGCCAAGGCTGGAGGATTGCAAGTTTGAGGCAATTGAAAGTTTGTCAAGCTTAGTGAGATCCTGTCTCAAAAAAAAAAAAAAAATAATAAAAAGGGCTGAGAATGTAACTCAGTGATAGAGAATGCCTGAATTTAATCCTCAGTACTACAAAAAAAAAAAAAAGCTTAAGGCTTAAGCCTCTTTCTACCTCTGTTGTTTGGTATGTCATTTCCTTCTTTGGGCCTCAGTTTCCATTGCTGTGAGATGGGGAATTTTCTGAACTGTCTATCACTCTGCCTCCGATGTTCTGAGAGCCTACAGGTGATAGAGGAGAGATGTGGGTATTTTAATAGAAAAGTGTGTTTTAGCTACTTCCTGTTGAGTGTTCTGTCTAGGACTCTCCCACCTCAGCTCAGGTTGACTACAAAAACTTGCTTAAGCTGCAGATCCCTAAATAATAACGATAAAAGTGCTGGGCACAGTGGYGTATGCCTGTAATTCCAGCAGTTTGGGAGGCTGAGGCAGAAGGATAGTGAGTTCTAAACCAGCCACGGCAACATAGCGAGACCTTGTCTCAAAATAAAATATAAAAAGGGCTGGGGATGTGACTCAGGGGTTAAGTGCCCTTGGATTTAATCCTCAGTACCATAAATAAATAGATAACCATAAAAGTAATGACCGCTGTCAGGTGTGGTGGCACATGCCTGTAATCCCAGCTACTTGGGAGGCTGAGGCAGGAGAATCACAAGATCAAGGCCAACTTCAATAATTTAAATGAGACTCTGTCTCAAAATAAAATAAAAAGGACTAGGGAGTAAGTCAGTGGTAGAGTGCTTCTGGATTCATCTGACCAAAGGTTCTCTGCTTTTAGGGTGTTAAAGGAACAGTGGATTCGAGCTAAGTATGAGAGACAGGAGTTTATGGCTGATGGGAAAGCCGTCCCTCCCCCAGGTAAGGTAATTTTCGTATCTTGTGGAATCAGTGTTCTGATGAGCCCTACCAACAAAATGCCGACTATTAGGAGCAAAATCCATCCATGAGATGTCTGTTGCCCTGGCCCTGCCCACAGTATCCAAGGGGTGGATATCTGCACCTTGAAACAGCTAGAAAATCAGCAAGTGGGGTCTTGCAGTCTGAGCAGCAAAGAAGCATCTAGGTCTCAGATCCTTGCAGGGCCACAGGTGTATGCAGAATCTTAGCATGAATTGTAGGACGATTTCCACACCGGACAGGCCCTTTAAACAAGGCATGGCACTCCTGGCTAATGCCATTCCTGGTGCAGCTCACAGTTTAGTGAGGAGCATGGGCTGCCTTTCAGCCTCCCTTTCTGCCATTGTGAGGGCACAGCCTCATTGGTGGCCATGAATCTATGGCAGTTTTTAGCCTACAGCCCTGAGTCCAAGCTGACAGTGACCCAGAGAGCAAAGAGTGGCGACTCTTGGAGAAACAGAGGCAGCCAACTTTAGCTACCAGGAGCACCAATTAGTCTTCAAACCAGCAAGCACCTTGAGGTCACTCATTATTTCCAAAGTTTCATGAGGCTGATGGCCATGTGAATTTGGGCTGAACCACATATATTTAGGCGTCTTCCAAAATCCTTCCAGTTTGTCAAGACATAGACTACTTAAGGTTTATTGTGTCTCCTAGTGAGACGGCCTGATACCATGGAGAGCCAAGAAAGCCAGGTTTTGCACKGGGTGGGAGTGTGGGGGGTGTCTGACTAAGATAATAAGCCATGGCAAAGCTGGTCCCAGGCAAGACTCTTGCTCCCTGCAGCTGACATAGCCAGTTAGATTGGGGGTATCTAGGCAACAGGTGGAGGGTTCTTTCTGCCCCGAAACTCTAAGAGGTTCCTGTGTCGTTTGTGCATCCTAAGGTCATGAGCATTCACTTCTTCTCTCCCTGGTGGTCAAGGTAACCGAGAAGGAATCCTGTGGAAGCGGGGAAAGGACAATGCACAGTTTCTGAGAAGGAGATTTGTCCTGCTGGCAAGAGAAGGACTCCTGAAGTACTACACCAAGGAGGAGGTAGGAGGCCAGACGGGCCAGGGGCTTCCTCCCTCCTCACTAACCAGCCTTCTTGTTARTGGATGTGCTTGGTCTTGTGGATAATTTCAGATCCTGAGAGACTCCACATTCTCTTCCTTTTCCTTGTTTAGGCAATTAATCCAATCCACTGAAAACACACTCTTTGTTCATATAGAATCAGCTTAAACTAGTTCAATTTTGGTTTGGGTTGGTTTTTGAAACAGGGTCTCACTATGTTGCCCAGATTGGTTTTTCTTTTCTTTTCTTTTTTTTTTTTTTTGGTATGAGGAATTGAACCCAGGGACGCCCTCACTTAGTTGCCGAGGCTGGCTTTGAACTTGCAATCCTCACTGCCTCAGCCTCCTGAGCTGCTGGGATTACAGGCGTACACCACCATGCCTGATCCCAGGCTTGTCTTGAACTCCTGGGCTTAAGGCATCCTCCTGCCTCAGCCTCTCAGGTAGTTAAGACTGCAGGTGTGTGCAACCATGTCATGCAACTGGTCCATGTATAAGCCTCTGATGATCGCTTGATTTTATTTCATTTATCCATTCATTTAAATATTTATTGAGCATCTACTCTGTGTAGGCATCATTCTAGGGACTGGGGATATAGCAATGAACTAAACAATTCCATAACTCTCATGGAACTTTTATTCTAGTGGAAAAAGACAGGAGACAACCAACACATTATATCCGTTTTGTATTAAGTGTATGGGTGATTGACTAGAGAGTGGTCAGTAAAGGCCTCTCTGGTGACAGGTGAGCAGAGATCTGAATAAACGTGAAGAATAAGTTATGTGGGTACATGAGGAAGAGAAGGAGGGACAAGGGAGCACTATGTACAGAAGCCTTGAGCACATCATGGTGAGCAAATACACCTTTGTGCCAATTAGAAAAAAAAATGGCCCCATTAGAGGGTGTGACCCAAGACCCTGGTCCCAGTAAGCAGAAACCTGGACTGCAGCTTTCACCCCACATTTTATGCCGTGCAGAAACTCAGCCCTAGGCCACTGCCCTGGCCCTGTGTTGGGTATGAGGTGACCAAGTGACTGAGTGAGCAAGCAAAAGAATGGAGGGAGACAAAGTCACCTAATGGAGATTTTGTAGGCCACAGTAAGACGTGTGTCCACGTGMACAGACGGACACGGCTGGGAATCAAACCCGCAGATTTTTTTTTTTTTAATGGTGCTGGGAATTGAACCCAGGTTCTCCTGCATAAACCCAGAGATTTTTAAAGAACAGCTTTGCCGAAATATAATTTATAGACCATACAATTCACCCATTTAAAGTATACAAGCAATGACTTTCGGTATATTCAAAAGTTGTACATCTATTATTACAACCAGTTTGGGAACTTTTTCATAGTTTCAAAAAGAAGCCCTATGCCCTTACCATCACCTCTCACTCCACCCCTACCTCTATCCCCAAGGGCAATCCCTAGGCTACTTTTTGTCTATAGATTTGCCTATTCTGACATTTCATATTAACAGAATCCTGCATTATGTGCATACTTCTCTCACTTAGCCTGATGTTTTTAAAGTTCATCCATGTTTTAGCATGTTTCAGTACTTCGTTTATTTTTCCTGCTGAATCATATTTTACCGTATGTGTGACATTTAATTTTACTTATTTATTTGGTACTAGGGATTTAACCCAGGGGTGCCCTATCATTGAGTGACATTCCCAACCCTTTTTATTTTTTACTTTGAGACAGGGCCTCTCTAAAGTGCTGAGGCTGACCTCAAACTTGAGATCTTCTTGACTCAGCCTCCCAAGTTGCTGGGATTTCAGGTGTGCACCATCTCTCCCAGCAGTATGACATTTTATTTATTCACTCATCAGTTGATGGGAATTTGAATTGTTTCCACTTTGGGGATATTATGAATAATGCTGGTAGCGATGTACATGTACAAGTTTTCAGGTGAATATGTTTCCATTTTTCTTGGGTGTACTTAGGAATAGAATTGTCCTTGATCCACTTTGAATTGAGTTTTGTGCAGGGTGAGAGATAAAGGTTCAATTTCATTCTCCTACTTATGGATTTCCAGTTTTCCCAGAACATTTGTTGAAGAGGTTATCTTTCCTCCAATGTAGGCTTTTGGCACCTTTGTCTGGAATGAGATAATTGTATTTATTTGGGTTTGTCTCTGTGTCTTCTATTCTGTTCCATTGGTCTTAATATCTGTTTTGGTGCCAATACTATACTGTTTTGGTAATATAGTAATATTTTTTAAAATATCTTTAGTTGTAAATGGACACAATACCTTTATTTTATTTATTTTTATGTGGTGCTGAGGATGGAACCCAGTGTCTCACACATGTTACACAAGTGCTCTACCACTGAGCCACAACCCCAGCCCTCTGTACTATAATGCAAGGTCTGATATTGTCATGCTTCTTGCTTCACATTTCTTGCTAAGAATTGCTTTGGCTATTATGGACCTCTTATTTTTCCAAATGAATTTCATGACTGCTTTTTCTAGTTCTATGAAGAACATCTTTGAAATTTAATAGGAATTGCCTCAAATCTTGGTAGTGTGGCCATTAATTAATTCTGCCTATCCAAGAATATGGGAGATCTTTCCATTTTCTAAGGTCTTCAATTTATTTCTTTAGTGATCTATAGTTTTCATTGTAGAATCTTTTACCTGTTTTTTTTAGATTTATTCCCAAGTTTTCTTTTGTTTTTGTTTTTGTTTTTTTGAGGCTGGGATGGTTTTCCTAATTTCTCTTTTAGCTGAATCATCATTAGTGTATAGGAACACAATTGATTTATAGATATTAATTTTATAGCCTGCTACTTTGCTGAATTCGTTTAGGAGTTCTAGTAGTTTTGATATTTTTTCAGTTCTCAATGAATCTTTATTTATTTATTTATTTTTAAAGAGAGAGAGAGAAAAGAGAGAGAGAGAGAGAGAGAGAGAGAATTTTTTTATTATTTATTTTTCAGTTTTCGGTGGACACAACATCTTTTTTTTTTTTTTTTTAATGTGGTGCTGAGGATTGAACCCAGCGCCCCATGCATGCCAGGYGAGCGCCTTACCGCTTGAACCACATCCCTGGCCCCATGAATCTTTATTTATATGTGGTGCTGAGAATTGAACCCAGTGCCTTACACATGCTAGGCAAGTGCTCTACCACTGTGCTATGACACCAGCCCTGAGTTCTAGTAGTTTTGTGGAGGAGTTTTTTGTGTCTTCTAAATATAGAATCATGTAATCAGCAAATAGGGATGTTTGAGGTCTTCTTTTCCTATTCGTATTCCTTTAATTTTTTTTTTCTTTTTATTTTTTTGTCTAATTGCTCTGGCTAGTGTTTCAAGGACTATGTTGAATAGAAATGTTAAGGGAGGACATCCCTATCTTGTTCCTGTTTTTAGATGGAATGCTTTCAGTTTTTCTTTTTTTTTAATATTTATTTATTTATTTTTAGATGTAGGTGGACACAACACAATGCCTTTATTTTTATGTGGTGCTGAGAATCGAACCCGGGTCATTCTAGGCAAGGCTCTACTGCTAAGCCACAATCCCAGCCCCATGCTTTCAGTTTTTCTTCATTTAGAATGACATTGGCCTTGGGCTTAATATATATAGCTTTTACAATGTTGAGGTATGTTCCTACTATCCCTAGTTTTTCCAATGTTTTGAACATGAATGGATGCTATATTTTGTCAAATGCTTTTTCTGCATCTATTGAATAACAATGTGATTCTTGTCTTTAAGCGTATTGATGTCATGAATTACATTCACTGATTTCCATATCTTGAACCAACTTTGCATTCCAGGGATGAAACACACTTGATCATGGTGCACTATCTTTTAAATATGTTTTTATATTCAGTTTGCCAGTATTTTATTAAGAAAATTTGCATCTATGTTCATCAGGGATATTGGTCTGAAGTTTTGTTTCCTGATGTATCTTTGTCTGGTTTTGGTATCGGGATGATACTAGCTTCATAGAATGAGTTTGAAAAGGTTCCCTCCTTTCCTGTTTCATGGAATAACTCGAGGAGGATTGGTGTTAGGTCTTTGAAGGTCTGGTAGAACTCGGCTGAGAATCCGTCTGGTCCTGGGCTTTTCTTTGTTGGTAGGCTTTTGATGGCATCTTCAATTTCAATTGCTTAAAATTGATCTGTTTAAATTTTCTATGTCCTCCAGATTCAGTTTGGGTAGGTCAGATGTCTCTAGAAATTTGTCCATGTCTTCAAGATTTTCTAAGTTTCTAATTATCATCTGTATTCCAGTAGTGTCTGTGGTAATATTTCTTTTTTCATCATGAATTTTAGTAATTTGTGTTTTTTTCCCCTTATCTTGGTTAGCTTGGCTAAGGGTTTTTCAATTTTATTTATTTTTTCAAGGAACCAACTTTTGTTGATTTTTTTAATTGGGTTTTTTGTTTGTTTGTTTGTTTCAATTTTGTTGATWTCAGCTTTGAATTTAATTATTTCCTATCTTCTACTACTTCTAGTGTTGATTTGTTCTTCTTTTTCTAGGGCTTTGAGATGTAATGTTAGGTTATTTCATTGGTGACTTCCTATTCTTTTAATGAATGAACTCAATGCAATGAACTTTTTTCTTAGAACCGCCTTAATAGTGTCCCAGAGATTTTGATATGTTGTGTCGCTATTCTCATTTATCTCTAAACATTTTTTTTTCATTTCATTCCTGATTTTTTTCTGCTATACATTGGTCATTAAAAAGTGTATTATTTAGTCTCCAGGAGTTAAATAGCTTCTATTTTTTATTTTATCATTGATATCTAATTTCATTCCATTATGATCTGATAGAATGCAAGGTGTTATGTCTATTTTTTATTTGCTAAGAATTGCTTTGTGACCTAAGATATGGTTTATGTTAGAGAAGGTTCTGTGTGCTGCTGAGGAGAAGTATATTCAGTCATTGATGGATGAAATATTCTATAAATGTCTGGTACATCTAAATTATTAATTATAGTTTTTAGTTCTACAGCTCCTTTAGTTTTTGTTTGGAAGATCTTTCC